CGGGAGAGGCGGGGAGGCCCCCTCGGCCAGCCGGCCCAGAGTCGCAAGGGCCCGGGGCTGGGCCGGGGTAGCCTCTCCTCCAGCACAGCTATGGCCGAGATTCCCACCGAGGTGCCCCTCAGCCCCGACTGTCTTCAGGGTGAAGCTGCCAGGCCTCACCGTAGGAGGCCAGAGCCACGCCCTCCGTGTTTATCCAGGGAAACTTGGTCCGAAGCTGCTCGGGAGACATCAAACAGACCTTGGCTCCTTCCTGCCTGAGAGGGACAGGCGGGACTGCGTCTCCGTGCTGTACGGGAGACGGGGCCCACACCCACGGGAGGGCCTGGCCGTTCATGCTACTGCTCCAACCCAAGCCCCCCAGGGCTTCCTCCCGCTCACGGGTGAGCCCGAGCCCCCAAGCCTCGCTCCTCTAGCCCACGCCCTCGACTCGGGGTGACTGGTTCCCCGCACTTTCTGCCCACTGGCCTTCCTCCTCAGGCCCCCAGGCCCATCCTGTCTGCCGGCCTCTCCTCTGGGACACCAGCTCCCGAAGGTGGCACAAAGGCCATTCCATGTGGGAGAATGCTCCCTGGGTGGTCTGAGTCGGGTCCTGCGGCCACCCCTCACTAGGTCCCGGCCTCACTTTGCTGAGTTAATGTGGCCGTACAGCATCTGGGACGTCAGCTGATGTCACCAGTGAGATGCGGCACGCCCACCCTCAGCTGGCCAGGAGTCACTCGTGGCAGGGCCCGACCCCCCGCTGCCTGCACTTGGGGACGGCCAGCTTGCGTGGGCACAGACGTGTGGCTAGCACCACCGTGCTGCCATCACCCGGCCCTCACGCAAGACGTCCGCTAGCCCCGTGTTTCTCTCTCTCTCTCTTTTTGAGAGGTTTCTGCTATAAGGCGCATGCGCTCGCCAGAAAGACAGAGACAGAAAGTAAGAAATCACCCCCCAGGGGAGTTGGCCACACCGCAATCTCTCCTCCAGTCTCCTCTCGGGATCTAGGGCATGTACGCACATGCGCCTGGCGTGAGTTTAAGCCACCAGGTCTGGGACTCGAACCGCAGTTGACTACATGGGAGTCCAGCAATGTAGCCACTATGCCAACTGCTGGTCCCCATATTTGTCTAATAGCTGAAAGGCGCAGTATTCACCAAAGAGACAGAGAGATGGAGAGAAGGGAGGAAGCATGCCCGGGGCACGCCTGCACACAATCCCTTCTCATCTCCCCACTCTACAACAGCCTAGGGACACACACACAGGCCTGACAGGCTTTCTAAGCCACTGGGCCAGGACTCGAACCCTGGTCGGCCACCAGGCTACAGTGTCAGCACTGCGGGCCCCTGACTCAGGGCTCCCATTAGAAACCGAGGCCTGGCGCATGCTCTGGACGGTCCTAAAGCTCGGGTCAGCCGAGGACGCCCGCCAGTGCTGCCCCCACCCGTGGCAGCGCGCACAGAGGCCCGCCTGCATGTGCCCGTCGCCCGCGTACCTCTGCACCCTCACATTGTTCTCCATGGTCACGGCGCCCTTCTCTGAAGCCAGCATGAGGTAGCCAGAGGGGCTGAACTGCAGGTCCACGGGAGGGTCGTCGACCACTGCGAGGTACTCCTGTGGGCAGACGAGCTCGTGAGGTTCCCTGGTGAGGTCGTGATTCCAGCTCCGGACCCTGCACCAGAGGCACCTCCCCCAGGAGGCACGGCCAGGACCCAGCTTGAACCACTCCTGTTCTGGGTCCCCTGGCAGCTGGCCTGCCCCTCTCCCTAAGCTAAAGGAGGGGTCACCACCCCAGCCCTGAGCCCCACTGCACGCACGTTGATGTTTCGGAGAAAGCTGGCCGAGAAGAGGGAGAGCTGGATGTTCTCGGGCACCGAGAACTGCTGCCGGATGCCGCCCGCCGAGAGCGCCGAGGAGGACCGCGAGTACTGCGGGAACCAAGGGGAGCTGAAGTCGGCATGGGCCGCACTCCCGGCAGGAGGGAGAACCAGAGACGGGACCGCAGCGTGAGCAGGGCCCACTGTAGGGTCCTCCCCGCTCTCGCCGCCCAACCAGCCCTCACCGTGTGGTCCCGATCCACCACCAGCACTCGAAGGGCCCCTTGCCGCCTCTCCAGCCGCTTCAGCCAATAGGCCACAGACAGGCCGAGCACGCCGCCTCCCACGACCACCACGTCCGAGTGCTCGGGGGGCAGGTGGCTGGTGTCATACAGGGAGCCCCAGGCCGCTCCCGGCAGGACCGACCGGATCTTCTTCTGAACCTCCGACACCTTTGCATCCCAGCCTGTGGGACGAAGCTATGGTCACAGGGCCGTCTGCTCCCTCCCCTCACGCTGGGCTTGGGGACAGCACAAGTCTGGGGGCTGAGAGACACGACTGGCGGGCCCACTGCCACCCCTTCCCGTCAGGCCAGCTCCGCCACGCGGGCTCCAGGCCTTCCACCCCGAACCACACGACATGCCCTCCGGCACACACTGGCGCTCTCCCAGGCCGGGCGACACATGCATCTCCCTGCTGCGCAGGGCTCGCGCTCCCTGAGCCCGCTCACACATCCACTGCAGACAGCTGCACATCGGCCCGAGCCCAGAGGGCCCCGCACACGCCACGCTGTGGCACCTCGTTCCAGGTGTCCACCGCCACCAGCAAGCCCTACACCCCTTCTACAACCAAATCCTGGTGGCTCTGTGCCCAAGCACTTCTCGATCAGTCCCCTTTTTTCTTAAATAATTATTTATTTAATTTTGTTATTCATTTAAATGTGTGCCAGACAGAGAAAGAAAGCAAGTCACCAGGTCCAAGACTTGGACCACAGATGGCCATGTGGGGGTCCAGCGCCACAACTACACACTAGCTCCCGCCCCTCGGTCCCTTAACTGTTTTTAAACTCATTTGTTGTGGTGACCAATTTTGTGTCAGCTTTGACTGTGCCATGAGGAATCCAGATTAAATCATCTTTTCTCTATTTTTTTTAAAATACATTCAATCACTGTATATCATTAGAATCTGCAAAATTAATTTTCCCAACATGAATACAGTGTTAAAGATACCATCAAGGGATGGCCACGCCGCAAACCCTTCTCCCTTCTCCCCTTGGGATTCTAGGCATGCACGCACACACTCCTGGTGTGAGTCTAAGTCGCTGGGCCCAGGACTCGAAACCAGCGACGAAACCATGAAGCCATCTGCTGGTCGTACAGTGATGTTTCTGAACACTAATGTAATCGTACCCTGCCTTGCTTAACACTCTCCAGTGTTTGTTTTGCCAAAGGAGAGAGACAGAGAGAAAGGGAGAAATACGCCCCACACAGTGGGGTGTGGTCACGACACACCAGCAACTCCACTCCTCCACCCTGTCGTGATGTGCACACGCATGTGCCCATGTGCCCGGCTTGTTTCTTGAGCCACTGGGGCTGCAGCTGAAACTTTAAGGTCAGCCATGTGGGATCTCGCACCCTTAACTAACCCCTAGGCCACAGGGCTGGCCCACCTCCCATGGCTCTGGCTGTGAAGAACTGCCTTACCTGGCTCCTGTGGCCTTGCCAGCCCTGCACTCCAGCCCCTATTCCCTCCCACCCGAGAAGGGGAACGCGTGCCCGGACTCTGTGTCCGCTCTGCCTGGCGTGGTCCTGGCTCAGGTTCCGTTTTTGGGAAAGCCTCTTGGACCCCTCAGCCTGGCTCGCGTTCTTTCTCACAGCAGGTGACACGTCTGTGATCTGAGTTTCCTTGTGGTTGTGTCATGTCACTTCCACGTTTACCCTCACCACTGGGTCTGCAGCCTAGCACACCTGCCTGTCCTACGAACTCAGGACCTGCTGAGTCAACATGTCATTCTGTCGCCCACGCCTAACACACTCTAGCAGCACTGGCCTGTCTCTCTCTGCCTTACCCCTTACCTCGTCTGACCACACGCATCTCCCGCTGCTATTCAAACCACCTAGAAAGCTTGTGCACAAAAGGATGCCCACCTGCTGCAGGAAGGTACCTGACACTAGCGGGCGTCTAGCAGTGTAGGACAACCTTCGAGATGAGGCCTCGAACTGCCCGAAGTTTCCCTCCCCAGCCTCACTCCAGGCATCTCTCCAGGACGTGCGCTGAGCCCTCTTCTCTCCCCGCCCTCGAGCTGCAGCTGCTCGGCCTCCGGGGCGAAGGTAGGACGGGGGACGCTGTGCTATAGCCCCTGGCTCCCTGCAATCTCAGGACGACGGGGGAGCTGCCGCCCGCGAAGGGCCGCCTGGGACGCCCCACTGGCCGCGCCCGACGGGCGGAGGCGGGCGGG